TAAAATTTTTCCTGCTAAATTAATCTGATTTGGTAATTTTATAGTTGGATTTGCAATTGCAAATGCTTTTTTTACATGTATATTATTTACTTATCTAAAAGCAACTCCAATTAATATTGTAGCATAAAGAATTAATCAGTTAAATTGCTCCTGATCATATAAATATATTGGCTGTGCTACTAAATTATTCAATTTTTGCTTTTTTGAAATCTTTAGCAGTAAAGAAGCCTGACTTTGACTTTGAAATAAAGAATAAGAATTTTTTTCATTACTTTCAAAATCTAAAGGTTGCACAAATTTACCATCTAAATTTAATACTCTTTTATATTTCTCAGAAGTAACTTTATTACGAAAACTTCACAATTACGCAAATGATTTTTGCATGTAGTTTTTTTATTAACAAACTTTAATTCAAATTCTTCTTTATCAGGGTATATATATTTACATGATTGGCAAATTGCAAAATGATGTGTTTAATTTGCTTTTTCTTCAGAAATTATAACATAAAGTATCAATAGATATTGTTTTTTCCCTATCTTTATAATAATATTAAGTATAAAATTTAACTTTATGTTTCGTTATTACAAAGAAATTATTTGAAGAAATATAAGTTTAAATAATTAATATAAATAGATTAATAACAACCTATTTAACAATATAAAATGCAGTTCTATTTTTATCGTAATTGTTAAATGTCTTAACCTGGTTAATTTGGTTAAATAATCGATTTATTGGTTCAAATAGTCAATTGTTATTTATCTAGTTAAATTAACAATACTGCTTACATGACCCTCATATACGATCTTGCAAGATTTTAATTCGATGGTTGACAAACATTGTTTTTAACTGATTTTTAAGTAGCTTATAGCCTGTCGGATGACATTTATAATTTGGATTTTGAAACAGAAGTGGGCCGTCATGATGCTAGTCACAGAAGTGGTTTTTTGTTATTTGTATCTATAGAAGTGGCTTACCATATTTTCTTGAAATAATATACAGGGTATAATTTTGAAATTTGGCCTGAATTAAGCTTAATTCAGGCCAAAATTCAAAATAATGCACCTGTATATTATTTCACGAAAATATGGTATCGGGATGATAGTTATAAAAATTTTCTTATATTTGTGCACTGTATATAGAAGTTAGTTGTTTGTCAGAGCGATAGTAAAAGTTTGTATTTGTGTATATAGCATTTGTTTTAATTTTGACTAGAATGTTAATCAAAAAAGAACTAAAGTTTTTTTTCAAATAAAATTGTCTGGCTTTTCATTCCACTCTCTACAATAGACAATAACATTAGAGATTATTAGGTTTTAAGCTATCAGATTGATACTTTCAAATTCTGCACTGTTAGCATAATTGGTATGAAAATGGAAGAGACAGAATACCCATAGTTGCTTTCCATTTGTAATACTCCTTGGTGAGAGACAAAAAATAACTAAAAAGTTGCTATTATATTTTTTAAGATTTATATAAAATTTTTTTTATTTAGTTCTAAAGGTTTGTAAGATTAAAATATCAAATTTTTATTAAATTTGACTAGATATTTATTAAAAAATATTTAAAATTTAATAATTAAAGTTGTAGCCTTTATATATAAAAGTTTAAAATATTAATTAAAGGGTTTTTAATACTTTGGTCTTGCTGATTTTTATTTAGTTAAAAATAGTATTAATCAAGGTAAAACAATCACCCTTTTTTTTTAGCAAATTTACTACAACCCTCTTATTTCATATATCTTATTACACTTCTCAGACTATACACTTTCTACATCTTGGCAATCTAGTCTTACTCACCTATCTATTAAATACTATCTCTGTATCAATTTTAGCTAATATAGATAACACTATTTGAATTACTTAATCAAAAGAAGAACTTGACAAAATTATTAATACTTCAACTTCTTTTTATAACATGGCCAACATTCAAGCCAATCCTTCTAAATCCATCCTTATATCTAAATATCTATTCGATTCTGTTTTCTTTCTTAATTTTTATCTTTTATTCATTCCAATTCATTAACCTTTCAAGTTCTTAGGCTGCTAATTTGCTCTCAATAATAAGCATACATATCAAATTAAACTTATTCAAAATAAGCTTTACAGTTAGCTAATATTGCTAATACCAAAACTATCACTTATAAACAGATTACCTATATCATTAATACTGTTGCGGGAATAATTTTGATTTGCTGGGAGTTAAATCAACTAGCAAAATTAATCTAGCAAGACACTGGACCACCTTATCGAAAGAGACATTTAGATTTGGTGAAGTAGACTGGTTCTAAGGCTTCGGCAATCCTTAGACAACTATTACTTGACAAACTTTCAGTTTTAACGGCGCTCGAACTACTGGAACCAATTTGCAAGGAAATCAGGTACCAATAATACTTTTCTGGATATAATGCTTATACAATCAAACTATACCAGGGTATTCAATTATGCTAAGCCAGAAAGACAATAAGGGTTGGATTAATTGGGTAAACAATAGAAATGATCTAATCTAATTTTGGGTTAATAGAGAGGAGTAATCTTTTGGGCAATGTAGTGGTTATAGTTTTTACAGAATTCAATAATTAACAATAGTTTTATTTAGCAATGATCAAGATGAAGGTAGTGTCACAATAAAATATATATAAGGGCAAAGACAAGCTAGAGAACACTTGTTTTATTGTATAAAATGATGATTTTTATTAAACAGCAGAAATGGGCTGCTTATATACTTTCTTTATACTATGTTTCGTTTAAGACTTTTAAGTCTTATAATAATATAAACTATTACAATACATTAAATAAAGAAAAAACTTTTAAGTCTTAAAAGTATTATACTTCCGACTTTAAAACCTTTAAGACTTTTAAGACAAATCACTCCTAAAAGTCTTTACCCCAAATAAATCGATAATTACTATTAACCAAAAATAGACATTGCAGCATATACATAACACTAGCTGACCAAAAAGTTAAAATTTCCAAAGGCCCAACTTTCCCAGATTACTATGCTCTCTGACTTAAAACATGAGTTCCACAAACTCTAGAGGATCAATTGCTGGAGGTCTTCATTTAAAAGTAATCTGAATGTATTAAAAGTAACTATAGTTGTGCTATAGATTTGCTGGACGCCAAGAGGAGCAAACACATCATAAACACGCCTAGCTGCAAGGTAGTAATGTTGAGTCACCTGCCTCCAAATAGCCCCTTGTTGAGCTAGAGTGGTAGTTACAAATAACATTACAAGGTAATAAGCAAATACCAACATTTCGATTCTATTTTTCAATCAAATGGCCTGTAGCAATGCCGTACGAGTTGCGTCCACGCTTTTTACAAGATCGTGGGTCTCCTCAAATAGAGGTAGAGCCACAAATGGAGGTGGAGTTACAAGGACACCAGAAGGGACTGGAGAGATTATATCTCAGATAATTGTGTGGATATCTATTTTTTTTTTTTTTTTTTTTAAGAGTTGTAAAGATAAATAGATCGAAGTTTCAAACTTGGCTATATATATTAAAAAAAAACCTCTTTTGATCTACCAGTTATAATATATATATATATATATATATATATTTCACACACCCTTATTATCAAAACATCATTTATCTCTTACTCCTTTCCATCACGCAATCTACACCTTAATTTAATACCCTTCCTGGTTTAGCACCCCTTTGACGATTTTTGTACCTTTTAATTAAACTAGTACTAATTGGGGTCAATATGACTTGACCTTCCATTGTGCACAACTTGACTACATTCTAGTCAAAAACTTGATGAATGTAGTATGGGCCTGACCATTTTGGTTCAAGCTTTATGCTACGATTATATTGTTAGGATGTATGGTACACCAAAACTTTTTCCCTTATTCCAAATTTTGAATCTTTCTATCGTGAAGCTGTTTTTGCCTATTTTGCACCTTTTGTACTCGAAAAATGGCAGCTTGGCAGATTACTGGCAATGTATCTACCAGCCCTTGAACTTTTTGGGTCATAGTTTCTCCAACACTTTCGTCTGATTAAATGAGCTGTCTTGTATCTCGACTGTAGATTAGATAGAATGGCATTATTCTTGTAGTAGAATACTTTGAAGTTTGATAGGCGAACAATATAGATGAGATAATTAAATCCCAATCTGCCACATTTTCCATAGTTTTAGCAATAGACTCGCACAGGGTCCAGTTAAACCGTTCTACCAGCCCATTTGTCTGGAGGTGGTATGGCATGACAAGACATGCTTAGTTTGGAACTTTTCCAGTAATTTTTGAACTAGCTTATTTAGGAAATGAGTTCCTTGATCTGACAGAATTAACCCGGGGTACTCGTGACAGCAGATTATTTCGTCATATCCCTTAATATGTAGACCAACGCAGGCAAATTTGCCTGCATTTTTGCACTTTTTTTAGCTCTGATTTACTTTTTTAAAATGCTAAAATATTTAAATAAAACTTTGCACAATTATATT